CTGGGCTCAGAGGGAGCGTCCGAGTGAGTCTGTGCCGGGCCCTTTAGAGGAGCTGCTGGGGCTCCCGCAGCCTCCGCGACCCTCAGGGACAGTCCCGGCTGGTTTCACGGCCCGGAGTTGTGGGGACGTCTCTTTCCAGCCTGGAGCCCTGGGCTGGGGGCCTGCTGTGGGGCTGGGACCCCTCCCTCCTCCGGGAAAACTCTGCCGCTGAGATTCCCTCCTGGGTTTCAACCTCGGCACCGGGTGTGGGCCCGCGGCCGCGTCTCTTCGATTCAGCCCAGATCAGCCCGCATCTGCGCCCCTCCTACCGGTCTCGATGCTCCTTCAGCTCCCTGGTTGTGGGGCTTCTGTTCAGCCAGATTTCAGGAGGTTCTGAGTGACGGTGGTTCTGTATTTTAGTTGTAATTTTGGTGTGGTTGCGGAGGCGGCGGGTGCAGCCGTTACCTACGCGCCATCTTGTTTTCCCCTCCGTAAGTATTTTCCTTTGTGCTGGCAGTACTGATGCTCAGGGAACCTCGGTCCCAGGAAGCTGAACAGTCCTGGTTTGTGCCTGCTGTCCCACCACGGTCACTAACAGCATCCCCTTTCACTCTCAAAAGTGTCTCAGTGTAGATAGTAAGCTACACGATCACCCGATTTATAAAATTCTTTATTTGACATCACTATTCTCATATTGGTGCCTTCTCAGTGACAGGCTCCTGATATGGAAACCAGAGAGCAGACACATCACAAAAAGGGCCTATTCAGCAATTCAGTTCTACTAAGCAGGGCTGGACTCTGCCCAGGACTTATGAGAACACCAGGAATGAGTGCTGGGGCCATGGAGATGACGTTCTGCTGACACACAGGCTGCACTACTCTCCCAGAGTGTAGTGCACATGCACATACAGCCAGACTGTTCAGATTTCTCAGTCTAGAAGCTGCCTTTTTACCGAAGATGCACACAACACTAAGCCCAGGAGAGGGAAAATGTCCCAGGAAGTGTAAGGAGGAAAATGGAAAAGTGTTAGGAAGAATGAAAGACAAAGATGATAGGAAAGTTCAGAGAAGAGAGGAGAGAAAAAGAGAAAGAAGAGAAACAGAAGCAAGGAGGGAGACATCCAGGTAGTAAGAAAGGATCTGATACATTTGTCTGACCAGTTTTCAATGAACCAAAAACAACTCTAATTGCATATGGGCAAAAATTATTTCTATTTTTGATTTACAAGTCTTCCTGCTAGAGAAGGATTCATATTGTTGTGGTTACATTTTATCTGCATTAGTGTGATCTGGAAAAAAACACAAGTGGCTTTGGTCATTTCAGCAGATAGTTCATTAGAATGGTTTTGTGTGGGTGTGTTTTTAAATATATATCTTTATTGATTTCAGAGAGAGGAAGGGAGAAGAAGAGAGAGAGAGAAACATCAGTGATGAGAGAGTCATTGATCACCTGCCTCCTGCACATCCCCCTCCTGGGGATCGAGCCCGCAACCCAGGCATGTTCTGGGCTTGACCGGGAATCGAACCGCAATCTCCTGGATCCTAAGCTGACATTCAACCGCTGAACCACGCCCAGCCGGGCATTAGAATGGTTTTTAAAAAATCAATCATATATGCAAAGGCAAGACATTGTAGAAAGGCTCTTTAAAGAGTATTTTCATGGAGAAATTATAGCATTTAATAACAAGGACAGGAACAAAAATATGTTTATCATTTAAGAGGAGACCAATAAAGAGGTCACCTAATTTTTCTTTTTATTTCACATACTACATCACTCTTTCTACAAAGTTTTAAAATTTGTATTCATTTTTTGAACAGGTAATATTTACACATGGTTTAAAAATAAAAAGTTACCAAAGGATATATAGTAAAAAGTAAGCCTTATCTCTGACTGAACATTCCTTTGCAGGAAGGAAGCAACTCCTGTGACCAGATTTCTGTTAACCCTGTCAGAGAAAGTCAGTATGTCAACAGCACACAGAGGATACATGATGCCAGCCAGTTAGACATTTTCTTTTCACTGTTCTACACCTTGTTAGTTTTCACATAATGATATATCTTGGAGATCCTTCCACATCAAAACATAAAACCACATCATTCTTTTTAATAGCGTTAAAATATTCCATTGTATGTATTTGCCACAATTTATTTAGCCAACCCCCTGTTTGGGCATGTGATTGCTGACATTCTTTGGCTATATTACAAACAGTGATTAATTGGAAAACCTTACGTTGTTTTGCAAATGTGCAAGTATATCTGTAGGATAAAATCCTACCATAAAATTATGGGGCCATATTTTCTACATAGATTTTCAAACTATTTTATTATGGGCTATAATCTATAATATATTTTTCCAATTTATGTCTTTCACTGGATTAAAATATCAGGAACTCACTCCCAAATTCTGAAATGTAATACAGTAAACATTAACTGAACAAGTACAGTAGACAAAGATAGCTATGTGTAAGGAACTGTGAAAATACAGAGATTTAAAAGAAAAAACACACACCCAGCTTTAAACCTTTTCTATTGTATGAATAAGATTTTCTTTTTTCAAGCTGCTTAAATATAAAAGTAGACATGTTACCCTGGCCTGTGTGGCTCAGTTGGTTGGGTGTCATCCTGTGCACTGAGAGGTCACTGGTTCAATTCTCCGTCAGGACACATGCCCGGGGTGCGGGCTAGATCCCCAGTATGGGGGGTGCAGGAGGCAGCCAATCAGTGTTTCTCTCTTCTTGATTCATTGATGTTTCTTTCTCTCCCTCTCCCTTCCTCTCTCTCTAAAAATAAAAGCAACAAACGAAAACATTAAAAAAAGATGTTAACAACTATAAAACAGAATAAGTAATTTAAGAAAGGAGATGAAAACTAGATATGTATTTCACTATGTATTATTTGAGTTTCATCTGCTAAGAAGGTATACGCTAAAATGAAAATCATGTTAATTTTCTAAAAAACACTTAGTAATAATGCCTTCAAAGTATGTGACATACAACCTC